TGTGAACAATCTCAATCTCTTCGCCATCCAACCTCATGCTACCAATGGGTCCCGTGGTGAGAATATTTGTCTTCTTGACACTGAGCCTCAGTCCATGCTGAAGGCTGCAGTCCTTGACCCTCTGCAGCAAGTGCATGAGGTCCTCCTCAGTTTCAGCAAGCAGGGTTGTGTCATCTGCATAACGCAGATTGTTAATAGATCTTCCACCAATCCTGATGCCACAATTCTCCTCATAGAGCCCAGTCTCCCGGATAATCTGCTCTATATACAGGTTGAAAAGGTATGGAGACAGGACACCTCCCTGGTATACGCCCTTCCCAATTTTGAACCATTTAGTGTTACCCTGCTCTGTCCTGACTACTGCGTTTTGGTCCAAGTATAGGTTTTGCATGAGCAAGATTAAATGTTCTGGGAGTCCCATTCTTCTCAGAGTCAGCCACAGTTTGTTATGATCCACACAGTCAAACACCTTTGCATAATCAATGAAACACAGATAGACATTCTTCTGGTATTCCCTGCTTTCAGCTAAGATCCATCTAACATCAGCTACAATATCCCTAGTACCATGATCCCTTCTAAACCCCGCCTGGACTTCTGGCAGTTCTCTGCTGATGTGCTGTTCCAGTCGTTTTTGGATAATCTTCAGTACAATCTTGCTTGCATGTGAAATCAATGATATTGTTCTGTAGTTTCCACACTCAGCTGGGTCACCCTTCTTTGGGCACACTCAGCTGGGTCACCCTTCTTTGGGATGGGAACAAATATAGATCTCTTCCAGTCAGTTGGCCAAGTGGTTGTTCTCCAGATTTCTTGGCACAACTTGGTGAGCACATCCAGGGCAGCATCTGTGAGCTAAAATATGTCAACTGGTATACCATCTATTCCTGGGGCCTTATTTTTTTGCTATTTCCTTCAAAGCAGCTTGAACTTCTTCCTTCATCACCATAGGCTCTTGCTCAAATGTTATTTCATTAAATTCTTCTGTATCTGCCAGTTCCTTTCGATACAATGACTCAGTATATTCCTTCCCTCTTCTTTTAATACCTCCTGGATCATTTAATATTCAATTAAGACCTAATATTTCCTTGTCATGAAATATTATATAATGGATTCAATCTACTACCTCTCCTTTCCTTCTCTAAATGGAAGTTCATAAGTTTCTAAGTCCCCTGACAGCACTTAACAACAATAACAATGACAACATAGAGAGAACTATGTTGGCCTAGAGGATAGAAAGTTATGCTACCATGCCCAAGGTGGGTGATTTTAATTTGCAGCCCTCAGGCCTGGTTCAAATTGTTTTTTGTCAAACATTCTTCTAAGTGGCATAGCACTTGTCTGTGCATTGCTGTACAGAGGTAACTCGTGGTTACTGTGATGCTGAACACTGGGACACTGATGTGCCAAATGTGACAATGGTTACCCATGGTGGACAGTGTTTGGTGCAGCTTCCTGATTAAAACAAGCCTGGAAGCAGGAGTGGCATCCACTTCCAAAATGGCTTGCCTCTGGAAACTCTATGAATAGTGAGTGCTCAGGTCTTTTGTTCACAGGGTCGCTATGAGTCGTCTACAACTCAAGAGCACTTAACAAGTCCCTCTAAGGACAACTTTAGGAAACTCTGATAGCCCAGTAGGTAAGAAGTAGTGGTGCCAACTCAAAGGCACATGGTTCACATCTACAGCTACTCCTCAGGAGAAAAATGGGCAATCTCTTCAAGAGCAATTTATAGCCTCTGAAAACCCACTGAGGAATGAGCCATGAATCACTCCTCCAACTCAACAGCACATAACAAGGATAACCACAAGGTTATAAAGTTCCCTGGCCAATTTCTAACAATAATCAATAGGGAATAGCCATGTAATCTGAGTATCTGGTAGATATTCAGAAATTATAGACTATGCTACAATGTTTTTAACTAAAAAATTATACTTTATCACACTGATATAATAGAACAATTAATAGTGCATTTTTGCTAAAATATGAAATATGAACATAAAATTAATCAATTAAAAATCAATTAATTTTTGCCATGTGGCAAAAAATATTTTGTGACTTTCTGTGTGAGAGCTATTTCAAAGTTGGCTTTTTAAACTGTATACAAAAAGCTATTACAATAAGAAATGTCAAGGTACTCACAAGCAATCACTGGGGCATGAATATGCTAAACGTTAAGTGGAAAAACTCTTTTGGTTGTTTTTAAGCATTCATTGATGGCAATCATCCTAAAAGCTGCATCCTCATTCTAGGATTCCATGGCAATATGGTCAACAAAATCTATTTACTGGTTGTGGTGTTGTTGCTGTATACTGTCATGTTGGAACCGTCCCACGGCTGACCCTCCAGTGGGTTTTCAGAGGCAGTTAATCACATAGGCAGAGATTGCCCATGCCTAAGTACTCTTTATTTAAAAAGTAAATTACTATTTCTAAAACAGAAAAGTAATCAGCATAGTACCATTAAAGAAAGGCAAAAGTGCACAAGACTTAGAGATAACAAAGTAAACATTATTACACACATACGTGCACGCACATGATTTAACAAGACAGAATGTTTACCTCTGCAAATCTCAATAGCCAGTTTCTAGTCTTTTATATTATCAGGCTTTTATCGTCATGAATTTAACAAGCCATCCACTTTAGAAAAACAGATACCAGTCACATTGATTAAAAATAAATTTTGACTTCCTTGCCCAGCAAGTTTAATAAACTCAGCTTGCATAATCAATCAATAAAAATAAAACAAGCATTTCTTCATAAAAGACAGAATCAAGGCAGCAATATATAAGGCCTCAGCTGATAAAAGAAAATATTAACAGCTATAAAATCAATAAGGAAATACATCTCACATAATTAATGCTTATGATAAAGATTAATCAAGTGAAATGAATATGCTCACTAAAGAAAAATGAAAAAGCAAAAATAGCAAAACTACGTTTCATTCTCTTCCTTATTACCATAAAGAAGGCACTGACTCATAGCTGCCTCACCATTAGGTTTCCAACGTCATAAATTGCTAGAGATTGTCCACCTTTTTCTGGTGGAGTCCCTGGTGCATTCAAACCACCACAGAGGTGCGGCCTCTGGGTTACCAGTGCAACGCCCTGTAGGATCTATACCAACAGTCTCTTCCCCTTTCACTGAACCCATAGCTGACCATCTAGCAGTTTCTCAGAGGCTGTAAGCCTCACAAGAGGAAGTTCTTATGGCCTAGGGGCAAAAAGCCATGCTGCAATCCCGAAAGCACACGGTTTGAATCCACCAGCTGCTTCACAGGTAAGCGATGGGCAATCTCCTCCTGTGTGATTAACTGCCTCTGAAAACCTGCCCAAGGGTCAGCTATGGGTTGGCTCTGACTCTATGGTGCACAACAACATGCAGCACAAGAGGAGACTGTCCTGCCTTCTCCTGAGGAGCAGCTGTTGGATTCGAACCATCTGCCTTCGGGTTGGCAATGAAGGACGTACTCCAGGGATGCATCCTATCTCCATACCTTTTCAACCTATATGCAGAACAGATTATCCAGAAGGCTGGGCTCTATGAGGAGAAATGTGGGGTCAAGATTGGTGGACGATTTATCAACAATCTGCGTTATGCGGATGACACAACCCTGCTTGCTGAAACTGAAGAAGACTGAAGCACCTGCTGCAGAGTGTCAAGGACTGTAGCCTACAATATGGATTGAGTCTCAATGTCAAGAAGACAAAGATTCTTACCACTGGACCAATTGGCAGCATCAGAATGGATGGTGAAGAGATTCAGATTGTACACAGGTTTCGCTTGCTTGGCTCCATAGTCAACAGTCTTGGCACCAGCAGCCAGGAAATTAAAAGATGCATTGCCATGGGAAAGTCTGCTGTTAGGGACCTCTCCAAAGTACTGAAGAGCAATGGTGTCTCTCTGGAGACTAAGGTGCGTCTGATACAGGCCATGGTCTTCGCAATCATTTGTTATGCATCAGAGAGCTGGACAATGACCAAGGAGGATAGAAGGAGAATTGATGCCTTTGACCTGTGGTGCTGGAGAAGAGTATTGAGAATACCATGGACTGCTAGGAAAACAAACAGATTTGTCCTGGAAAGGGTTAAACCGGGTGGCTCCTTGGAGGCAAGGATTCTGAGGCTCCGTCTAACATACTTTGGACACATTGTGAGAAGAGACACGTCCTTGGAGAAGGACATCATGCTTGGGAGGGTGGAGGGACAGCGCAGGAGAGGAAGGCCCTCTATGAGGTGGATTGATTCAGTGATTGGGATAATTGGGATGGGAGTGTCAGAGACAGTGCGATTGGCACAGGACAGAGCGGAGTTTAGGGCTGTTGTACATAGGGTCGCTATGAGTTGCAAGCGACTCAACGGCACATAACAACAACAACAACAGTTCACCAGAAGGCAACTAAAAAAAAAAATTACTTTGTAGAAATGGCTAAAATGTCAAGGATTTTAAACTTCTTTTCAACAGCTAGTAACGTTCCAGTCTGCCCTACAGGGAGCTAAAGAATTTATGTCTCATCACTCCCCCAAACACCCTCACAGCCTAACCTTCTGTCAGTCATGAGGAACCCATTTACAAACCAGCCTGTCGTTTTAGGATCGGCACTTCTCTGTTACCTCTACATAAACTCACTTTTAATTTCTTATGACACAAAAATAAGAAAAGGGGGAGAAAAGAAAACCTTCCACAAGGTTAAATGATCATATTACTAACATTTTGAGGTACTGAAAACGGACACATGCTTAAGCTGTTTCTTTCCACTACATCCTCCCTCCACAACCCTTTCTTCTACATCACTGCTAACCATCCCAGGACTGAATTACCCAGACGGCTCTCACATCTCTCCCCCAAAAAGCTGCCAGAGAAGCAGCTCAGTGCAGTGGCCTCCTGGATGGGAGCACTCAGTGCCATGGTCACCAGCACAGCTCTGGGCACCTGTGTGACCAGATGCCCCACTGCCCTTTCTGCCAGTGTCACCAGAGCCCTTTCCAGGGAAGTGTTACTTACTGTGCCGGGCATATGACTCCTCTCATGTTTGCCATTCTGAGAGCTGCTGTTTTTGAGCTTCTTCTTCTTTTTGGCTGTTTCTTTGTGTTCTTTCTGTTTGTTTTGCACTTCAATAAGAACAGAAATGAAGCTGTTTTTCACTTCCTTTTCAAACTCCAGTTCATCTCGCAGGGCCAACTGCTGCACCAGCTCTTCCGAGTAATCCTTAGTGGCAGTCTCAATTTCTTCCAGGAGCTCATTTAATTCCGACACTGGGAGCCTTTTCACTCCTGTGACCAGAAACAAAGCACAGCGACATTAAGACAGAAAGGCCTCAAGGAAGAGCAACACTCCCATCCTAAAGCCATTACAGGACTCTTCTCGATCTCCCTGTGATCCAAACACCTCTGGGAGCAGGCCTGAGGAGAGGCAGGGGGCCAGACCACTCCTCAAATGATTGACAGGAAAAAGACCAACAACACTTTGTCAAAATCAATCATTCCATGAATAATAGCACTTAAATCAAGACTGAAAACATTTGTACAAAACCAAAAATAACCACAAAAGCAGTGGGAGAGAACAGAACTACCTGCTGCTCAGAAATGGCAGCAATTTGGGAGGGCTCTGGCACACTGCGGAGAGAGGAAGAGTCAGGTTGAAAGAAACAGAATCCCCAGAATCCCACATGCATCCCCAGGACAGAATCTTAATTGAAGGTTGAAAAAAAAACATCCTGAAACTCCACTTGGGGTTTTCCTCAATATTCCCCTCACACAGGAGTTTCTTAGTGACAGAGAGGTTAAGCATTCACACATTAACTAAAAGGCTGGGGATTCATGTCCACCCAGGGGTGCCTCAGAAGAAAGGCTTACACCAACCTACTTAAGAATCAAATGAAAAAAACCCCTCATTGTCATCGACTCAGAACCATCTCAGAGCTGATCCTCCCTTGGGTTTGTGAGGCCGTATATCACACAGGGGGAGATTGCTCATCTTTCTCTCACCGAGCAGCTGGGGGATTCCAAGAACCAGACAGAGCCTTCAGGTGAACAGTACAACTCCCTGTGGACTACGCCCTATGCATGATTTTACTCTGCCATGTGGGGCCACTACAAGCCAGGACTGGTTTTTTGCTGTGAGTTTATATAGACACAACAATATTAAAACCACATCCACAACAGTACAATCAAATGAGATTAGTTAAAAAAAATCTCTCTGGCTGACTTCCCCAGTAGGAAAGAAAACACACAAATCAAAGTGACACTGGAACAGCCCGATAGGACTGCAACAACCAAACTCCAGACCTCTAGTCACAACACAGAGAAGGCACAGGGACAACCTGAGCTGAGCATCATCATGGTCTAGTCAAGGCGAGACCAGGCACATGGAAAAGATTAGACGCCCACATAAACACCAGCTTCAAGACTGTGTTACTCATTTTTCTTCATAACCAACGGTACAGTTTTCACAGCTCATAATTATCGTGCACTTGATACAGATCCATAGTTCCTAAAACTCTTCACAGTAGCAAAGAAATCAGCCATATGAACAAATAGAAATTATAACACATTAAATTCATTCACCCAACATTTTCAACAAATAATTAACCTGTTGCCATTCAGTCTGGCTCAATTCACTGCAAACCACATGTGCTACAGCAGAGCCGTGCTCCAGAAGGTTCAGTGGAAAGAGCTCACAGGCCTGTCTTCTGAGCCACCCTGAGTGGATGCAAACTTTTCAGCTACTAGGCGAGCATGTTAACTGTCCGTATCACTCAGAGCTTTAACAAATAATGGCGGAGTATCTATTATACCAGAAGCCCTGGTAGTGTTCTTTATAATGTATCAGGCTGCTAACTGAAAGATTCTCAGTTCAAATCCACCAGGTGCTGTGAAAGAGAAAGATGAGTCAGCTCCTCTCATGATTTTTGGCCTCAGAAACCCAATGGAAGGTCACCATGAGTTGGAACCAAGTCAATCAATGGCAGTGGGTGGTAGGTATCTATTATAAAGACGTGGAAAGGCAATAGGGCTAAAGGTCAATAAAGCACAGACCCTGAGCTAAGGCAACACTGTGTCCAGGCTAGTACTGAAGGCCCACAAAACCAAACCACTGCCATCAAGTTGCTAACAACTTATAGTGACCCTTCATGAGGTTTCCAAGGCTGTAAATCTTTATGGGAGGAGCCCGCCTCTCTTTATCCTGCAAAGCAGCTGGTGACCTTGAACTTTCGAGCTTTCAGTCAGAAACCAGTACGTTACCCACTACACCACCAGGACTCTTAGAGAGGGGTCCAGTTTGTGAAAGAAAATAGCATGACAGTATGTTTGATACATGCAGCAAACAAGGGAACCGTTTTAAGCCGAGTGTCTTACTCTCTTCATAACTGCTTGTACTAGATCTCTTAAGGGTCTGAATTTCCTGGGAAAGCATCGAAAGTCGATCGGACGGTGTGGGAGTCTCATCATCGTCTGGGTCCGGGGATTCCTGCATCATTTCTTCAATTTCTTCAATAACCTTTGAAAATATACATACAACTGTTAAATTAACTAGAACTAAGAAACACAACCCATGTGTGAATGTGGAACTCACTAGTAAGAACTGGAACAGAATTGCTCTAAGTTCTCCATTAAATAGTATGCAGGAGCAGGCATACCTAAATTTTAAAGTAAGCGTGAACATAACTTACCAAATTAAAAAAAAAAACCAACAAAACAACTTCACAATATAATAAATGCACAATCAAACAAAATACAATTCAACATGCCCACCATGATTCAGGTAGATCTACTGGATCGCACAGCATCTAAGAAACAGGCGATGCTATACACTATTTGAAGCAGGAGTGGCATCCACTTCCTAAACAATATGCCTCTGGAAACTCTATGAACTTTGATAAATGATGATAGTTATAGAGAGGCTTCAGGCCTTTTGTTGATAGTTTCACTATGAATCGTGCCCGTCTCAACCGTAACCAACAACAACATATACACACACATTTCCAGAACTCAATCCAAAGTCACAGTTAAAAGAAAACAAAGAACAGAAAGTTAACCATATACCACATGCAGGTGCTAACTCTAAAGCTATTTAATTAAACTGAAAAAAAAATTTAGACATTAATTAAAGTATTAAAAATGTAATGAAAAGAGGAGGACATTACCTCCTTGAAAACACAACTTCTCTTTAACAGTAGGGGGGAAAAAAGATAACATATATTATTAATAATGAAAGATAGGGGATGTTTTTTTCTATTTATTCCAAATGTAGACACTTAAGGAGAAAAAGAACTGTACAAATGTTTCATACACACTCTGCCACTTAAGCAATAAGGAGTGCTCTCTGCTATGCCATGCCCTGCTGTTCAACTTCTACAAAAGGATCCTGTCCTGTTCCAGAGTCTGAAAGAAGAGGATTCAGGAAAAAATGGAACAGAGAGCCAGAAGAATTGCTTCCTAGTTAACAAGGAGAATTTAATTTGAAGAGTTTTTTTAAAAATATTAAAGGAATACATTAAATTGAGAAATAAACTAACATGAGCATTTTTAAAATGCTCTATGAATTAGCATGCTTAACTAATGACACTTACACCGAGGGGGGGTGTGTGTGTGTGTGTGTATCTGAAGCAGGTGGGATTATGTTAATTAACAGGAAACCAAATCCTTTTGGTTCAAGTCGATTCCAACACTTAAGGACTCTAAAGGACAAAAGAGAACCACTCCACAGAGTTTCCACGTCTATGGTATCAGCTGAAACAGATGGCTATATATTTCCCCATAAAACACCCAGCAGGCTTGAACCACCAATCTTTCAATGAGCAGAAAAGCTCTTAGTCACTGTGCCACGATACAAGCCTACTACCATCAAATTAATTTCTAAGCACGACAACACAATAGGACAGAACAGAACTGTCCCATGTCTAACAGGAGCAGACTACTTCACCTCTCTCCTGTGGAGTGAATGGTGGGTTCAAACCATTCATCTTTCGGTTAATGGAAAATTCTGTAACCACTGGGCCACCAAGCCTCTTTAATTAATGAGAATAATTTCCAGAATAGGCATTGCTCTGTAAAATGAGGTACTGTGGGAAGCTGCAGACTCTATTTTAAGTCTTACAACAGGGATGGCTTACAGATTCAGGCAGACTGCTGAGGGGACGACAGGCTCTTGGGGTCACTCTTTGCCTGGAATATCATGCTACACCTCAAGACACTGCTCTGATGTATTAACTTTCTTTTTGTACCCCACTCTTCTAGTCTATAACAATTCACCCTTAGACAGGATTAAGATACGCCCAGAAGACACAACAACAAGGCGGCGGCATTCTCAGTTCCTCTTCTTGATTCTCTTTGATGCACTTTTCTCGTATTTGTGTAGCACATGTCCTCACTGACCCTGCCTTTGCAGTCTAGGAATATCATGTGCTCAATTTCGGTCCCAGTAGCCAATGGAACATTCTATTTCAAAGAGAAGGTCTTGCTTCACATTGAGAAAACACAACAGAGGTGGGAAGAGTATTCAGAAAATGAGAAAGCTGACTTAACTGGTTTAAAGTGAATACAGGGTTGACATTATTAGTGCATTCCACAGAATAATGCTCACTTCTTTCTATGGTTCACAACATGTATTTCTAATAAATGGTGGTGATTTATACCCTGGGTTTTAGAAAAACAACATAATTCCTACACAGATACATTATTGTTTGCCCACGTTTGTTTAAATCTAAAGGAAGTACAAAATGTACAATATATTTTCTGGTATTAGTTTAAGCAATAAGCCTTACTGAGTAACTTTCCGTAGTTCAACAATACCTGTTGTTGTTGTTGTTGTTATGTGCTGTCAAGTCGCTTGTGACTCAAAGCTACCCTATGTACAACAGCCCTAAACCCTACTCTGTACTGTGACAATCTCACTAAATTCCATTTGCTTCTTATGATATTTTCTTTCTGCTTAAATGAGAGAGTTACTAATTAAGCCTATATAACCATAAGACAACAGAAAAAGAACAAATGTCTTTGAGTTGTGGTGCTAGAGAAGAGTACTGAACATACCGTGGGGCTGCCAAGAGAACAAACATGTCTTTACTGGAGAGAATGAAACCAAGTTCCTCCTTGGAAGCTAGGATTCTGAAGCTCTGTCTCACACACTTTGGGCACGTGGCCAGGAGGGACCAGTCCTTGGAGAAGGTCATTATGCTCAGAAGGGTGGCACAGGAGAGGAAGACCCCAGATGAGATGGATTGATACAGTAAATGGGATAATGGAGGTAAGTGTGTCAAAAACAGTGAGATTGGCTCAAGATAGGGCAGAGTTCAGAGCTATTGTGCATAGGGTCACTCTGAGTCGTCAGCAACATGATGGCACCTAACAACAACCGTAAAATATAGGAAAAGTAAACTCTCAGAGCCCACCACTTATTTGTCACAATAGAGATCCCTTTTCAGCTTTGCAGTCCCTTCTCCCATGGTTGAGGGTTATCTCCCTCCTACCTGATCCGCAGTGAAGAGGGGCTCCTCGCTGACGCAGGAGACAATGATTGAGTGCATATCCAGCTGTTCTCGAAGCTCCTCATCATCCGAAGCATCAAAGAGCAAACTGTCACTTTTCTAAAAAAGAAAACATGCACTGTTAAAAGTAGGGCATTCTGATCACAACAAAGCCAGGATCTAGAAAAATGAGCTTACGGTGGAAAGCATCCACCAAATGAATTGCCTTGAAAATGAGAGCCTGTTGGCAGCTGAGGTAAGTAACTTACTACAGTTACTATCTCAGACCAGGTAATGTATGATGTGCAGCACATACTCCAGAGCCCACAGGACTGAGAGGAACAGAGTACAGCTTAAACCTGTGCTTAAAACTGCTAAAGCTCTGTGTACGCTCCATGACGCTCAATACATACACACAGTCAGTTGTTTTTTAGAAGCAGAAAATTAACTGTGTTGTGTTCAAGGTCAAAAAGTCAATTTCAGGTTCCATCCTGAAACACAATGTTGTGAGTGACAGGATATTATCCATATTCATACAAGGAAGGCCCATTAATGTGATTACTATTCATACATATGCTCTTACATCTAGAGCCAAAGAGGAAGAAACTGAGAATTTTTACCAAATCTTGCACTCTGGAAATGACCATAAAGTAATCAAGATGAGTTAATGATAACTGGTGACTGAAATGCAAAAGTTGGAAACCGTGAAGAAGGAATTGTAGTTAGAATACACAGGCTTGGTGATAGAAATGATGATAGGATTGAATTTTGTATTTTCAATGATTTACTCCTTGCAAATACCTTTTTAAAAAGACACAAAAGATGATTTTACACATGGAACTTGCCTGATAGGTGGCATAGGAATCAGACTAACTACATCTGTGGAAGAAATTGTTGGAGAAGCTCAGTATCAGTAGTCAAATGTAGGCCAGTGGTAGACTATCAATTACTCACATGCAAGTTAAAACTGTTGTTGTTGTTGTTATGTGCCGTCGAGTCGTTTCCGACTCATAGCGACCCTATGCACAACAGCCCTAAACCCTGCTCTATCCTGGGCCAAAATATTCACTGTTGTTGTTGTTATGTGCCGT